GTTTGGTCACGAGGGAGGTCAGGGGAGTGTCTGGTACGAATATGGTGTGGTTTGGTGTAGGTCAGAGTTCGACTCGAATCTTCAAATGAAGATTCGAGAAACTAGGGACTGATTCGAGGCACAAGGATAGCAGATCCATGTTCAGGGCAGTGAGGTGGTCCTAGGGTGTTAAGGAGGTGGTCACCGGCGTCCATGCCGCCGGGTTCAAGTGAAAGGGAAAAGGGGGAGGCGTTAGGGTTTCATAGGGTTCAGGGTTTGGTGAAGAAGACGAGTGAAGGGGGGTTTGGATAGGGGGCGTGGGGTATGATAGAGGGATTATATACGGAAGGGGAAGATAAATCGGAGTCTTTAGATCAAGTGATCTGAACGACTTGGATCTATTGGTGATGGACGAGACGGGGTCGTTTGGTATAGAAACGGGGTCGTTTGTGTTTAAGTGAGGGGTTGGGTTGAACCGGCTAAACAGGTCGGGTTACGGGAGCGGATGTGGACCATTGGATGAGTGTGATTGAACGGCTCAGATCAGACGCCTTATGCGGCGTCGTTTCGGGATGTGCCTGGGCAGGCCTGGCTTGGACTGGGTCTTGCATTGGCTTTGGGCCTCATTTTGGGGCCCAATCCGATTTCTTCACTTCTTTTTTTTCTTTTCTCTTTTTTTTTTTCTGATTTTAAAATACAACTAAATTAAAATGAATTTAAAACACCCATTAATCAACACCTAAACAATTATCACACAATTAATCAACGCCTAGAATAAAAGCTGCATATTTTTGTGAATTTTCTTTTAAAGACCGAATTACGGCCCGATTACACACGACATACTTATTTTGTATCTTTGTTTGATAAGAATCAATGAAAAATGGATAGAAACACAAAGGACTACCAGCACATGTCACGTAAAAATTGAAAATTTTTACGGCGAGGCCATTTGCAATTATTTTGATTTCTTTTGGGGTGATTGTTCGTGAAGCAAAAATTACGTGCTTACAGTACTATTCCAGAAGAATTGTGCAAATATCTTTTGTAACTTGTTTATGACATTATTGGGTGGGTTAACAACTAAAAGAAGATGAATGGGAATGCTTTGACGGACATGTGAGATCAACACTCCTCTCCCACCTATAGATAAAAATTTGCCCTTCCACGATTGTAGTTTATCCATCACCTTGGTCATCAATACCTCATTGTATTCCATCTTTCTCCTAGCATAAAAGATGGGACATCCTAAGTAAGTAAATGGAAACTCCTGCCTTCTCATTCCAGTAATTCTCTCTACCTTTGTGACCACCTGCAACCTTGCTGGATGATGCATATAAATAGCAGATTTACTCTTATTCACCAATTGTCTAGATGCAGCTTCATATGCACTCAAGACTTCCATCAATAGCTGCAATGACTTAGCGCTTGATGAAGAGAAGATAATGGTGTCATCCGCATATGCTAAGTGATTGATCTTCAGACTCCAATTAGGCAATCCAAACCCACAGAAATATCGGTTCAAATTCAAAACATTTAAACCTCTTGGAAAAACCTCAGCAGCTAGAATGAAGAGATTAGGAGACACTGGATCCCTTTGCTTAACACTCTTAGTGGATTTGAAGAAACCATGAGGTTGTCCATTGATGAGCGCAAAGTACAAATTATTTGAAACAATTCCATAAACCAATCCTATGAATCTCTCACAAAACCCCATCTTCCTTAACATCTTAGTCAAGAATAACCAAGAAATCCTATCATAAGCTTTAGTCATATCAAGCTTCATTACTACATTAGGTCCAGCTTTAGTCCTTAACCTTATGTTAGTAATGATCTCCTGAGTTAAAAGCACATCCTCAGCTATACTCCTCCCTTTCATAAAGCCTACCTGCTCTTCAAAAATAATATTAGAGAGTAGCCCTACTAACCTCTCATGTATCACCCTTGAGATAATTTTATTGGTAAAATTTCTAAGGCTTATGGGCCTCATATCAGAAAATGTTGTCACCTCCTTTTTCTTTGGAAGTAACACCATGAGTTACACACTTGGGAAGCTCCTGTCAATTAATAAAATATCTCACCATATCAAAGATGTCATCTCCAATTATGTCCCAACAAGAGTGATAAAAGCATCCTGTGAAACCATCTGGACCCCCTGCATTATGTCCATTAAGGCCAAATACAGCTTGTTTGACCTTTTCTTTTGTGGGTTGTTTGATCAATTCTAGGTTCTGCTCCATATTCACCAGCGTAGGCACATGATCCAGTATTCCAAATGCAGTTGGAACCACTGTTTCATCGAATTGATCTTTGAAAAAATGCAAAGCTTCGTCAACTATTTCTTCCTCCTCTTCAATCCAATTTCTAAGTTTGTTTTGAATTCTCTTGAGCTTCAATCTCCTCCTTCTCCCATTAACTTTTGCATGAAAGAACATAGGGTTCCTATCACTATCCTTAAACCATTGCATCCCTAATTTTATTTCCAAAATTCCTCCTCCAAAGTAAGGAATTTGATTAATTCTACCTAGACTCTTTTTAATCTTTCACGGGTCTGTTAAGTAGGTTTAGCTTCAAATTGTGCTTCATGTACTTGAACAACTTTTTCAATACTTGTTATCTGCTAAAATATATCTCCATTGGTAGCTTTACTGCAACCTGATAATGCCTTCGTCAACTTCTTCAACTTATAATTAAAGATGATAAATGGATTGGCGGAAAAGTTAGCATGCCAATTTTCACGAACCACGTCTTTAAATGAATCATGCTTAACCAAAAATTAAGAAATCTAACTGATTTCTTCACTAGAGTAGCATCAGTATCATATTTCAACTTCATTGCACTATGACCAAAACCTGTCTTAGGTTAGTGGATAACCTCCAAACCTAGGAAAGTTTGTTGGAATTCCATGTGAGCAAAACAACGGTCAAGTCTTTTGAAAATGCAATCTTCTTTTGCACGTCCATTCCACCATGTGAATATGCTGCCCTTGAAGCCAAGATCAGTGAGATTGCAAGTGTTAATACAATTCCTGAAGGCATCCACCTCGTTTAAGGACATTGGTAGTCCACTAAATTTCTCCTCCTCATCCCATATAACGTTGAAATCCCCACCAACAAGCCATAGGACAGTCATGTCTCTAGTCATTGCATATAATGAATCTCACAATTCTATCATCTTTATAGCATCACACTTAGCATAAATAAGTGTGATAATGTGTTCCACATGAGATTCAGTGTGAAATAATCTTAGTGTAAGTTGTTGCACCATATCATATAGGACAGTAACTTCAAAAACATCATCAATAAATGCCCAGATTTTATTTGACACATTAGCAATTGCTTGTGCAATACGAATCTTCCTTCTATATCTCTCCAGCTTTCGAGCTTGTTGCATTAGTTCCATAAGTCCTATGAACTCTAAATGATGTTGTCTATGCATTGTAACTAGCCTTTCAAAAGATTGTTGAGTATTCACTGACCTAACATTCCATATAAGTGCATCTATTACAAAGTAGTGGATTTGGTTAGGGTTATCCTTGTTAGAACTTCGGTTGATGGAATACTGGAGGTATCTTTTATGAACTTCTGCCTTCCTTTAGCACCAGATTTAACCTTATCAATTTTCCTAGGAGACAAATCACCTTGACAGGCTACATGCAAGAAATTCTAGGTAATGGACTCCTCATCACGATCCCTTCCAGTTCCTTCACTTCTATCTTTTTCTCATTTGCTCCCCACTGCTGGAACCATGCTATTTTTGATTGTTTGTGGAATCATTGATCTCTCCTTGCCCTTCTGCTTCTTCAGCTGGATATTTGCCAATAGCGCTATGTTGCTTGTTTTATTTGGCACATCTTCCACAATTTTATGTTGTTGAAGATTATGAGCACCATCGAACGTAATGACATTATCATTTGTAATCTGCGTAGCTCCCCTATAATTAACATTATCCCCTACTCCTCCTAGCTCAATTTTTTAAACATTAGCTCCACTAGGGTTCACTATAGCTTCATTAGGGTTTACTGTAGCTAAATGATTATGGTTTGAAATTTCCTGCTCCATGTCTACACTTTCTCCTTTGTTTTCCAGATTTACTTCATTGTTCTCAGTAGCACTAGTGTTTAATATTAATGCCTTACCATTAACACTTTGATCAGCATCATCTTGATCCTCATCTATTGAATCTTCCTCACCTTATGCACCATCAGGTAATTCTACTTTTTCAGAATCTTCCTATATTTGATCAGCCCATTGTAACCACCTGACCAGTCGTTTTGAGCATTTGCACTTTGCTCGCCAGTTCTTGGACATGACTAGCCCCGTATGATAAATTATAACATATGTAAATCGTAGGTTTTAGTTTTCAGGTTAATCGAAATAGATATGGAAGAATGATTCTCAGCTTGAAACTTTAAATTTGAAAGGTTTGACCAAGTTTTGACATTTTTGTATTTGACCTGAAATTTGGATTTTTGTGATTTGGTTAGCTCCGTTAGGTGATTTTAGACGTGGGGGCGCGTCTGGAATGTGATTTGGAGGTCTGTAGTAGAATTAGGCTTGAATTGGCAAAATTGGAAATTTTGCCATTTCTCAATCGGCATTGGAAATTTTGATATCGAGGTCGGAATGGAATTTCAGAAGTTAGAGTAGTTTCGTAGTGTCATGTGTAATGTGTGTGCAAAATTTCAGGTCATTCCGATGAGGTTTGATAGGTTTCGGCGTTGTTTGTGGAAATTGGAAATTTAGATGTTCTTAAGCTTAAATCCGATGGCGATTTGGTGTTTCGATGTTGTTTTGAGTATTCCAAAGGTTGGAATAAGTTTGAATTGTGGTATATGACTTGTTGGTATTTTTGATGGAGGCCTCGAGGGCCTCGGGATGAATTCGGATGGTTAACGAAAGGATTGGGATTTGGTTTGAGCAGCTGAACTTTGCTGCTTCTATCATTTCTGCACCTGTGGATTGGGGTCCGTAGGTGCAAGCCTCACAGAAGAGAGATTAGACCGAATATGCGGTGAATTGAGGAGATTAGGAAAACCGCACGTGCGCATAAGGACCACACCTGCGAGACAGTAGGAGCAAGAGGCTGAACGCAGAAGCGAGATTTCTAGGGTTAAGTGAAAACCGCACCTGTGATGGTTTTTCTGCAGGTGCAGCATCGCAGAAGCGACTCTGAGACCACAGATGTGGAAAACACTGGGCATAAGGTATTAAAAGTTCCTTTTCGCAAATTTTGCTAAGTTTCTCCATTTTTGAAGACGGGAGTTGAGCTTGGGTAGTGATTTCTCAAGAGGGATCAAGGGTTATCAGTTGGGTAAGCTACTTAAGCCTTATTACTTGTGTTTACGACAATTTTCCCATTGTTAAATCATGATATTAGTGGGAATTAGGGAAGAAAGTTGGGAGATTAGGACTTGAAATTGGAGAGTTTAAATTGGGGATTTTAGGGACCATTTGAGGTCCGATTTTGATGATTTTGGTATGTATGGACTCGAGAGTGAAAGGAGTTTCTAGTTTCGCGACTTTTGTTGGATTCTGAGACGTGGGCCCGGGGCCGGTTTGAGAAAATTGAGGATTTTTGGTCTAAATTGATAATTTTAGTATTGGTTTCATTCCTCTATCGTATATTAATGATAATATACTGATTTTGGTTAGAGTCAGAGCATTTGGAGGCCGAATCGAGAGGCAAGGGCATCGTGGGCTACAGTTTCGCTTGGCTTGAGGTAAGTAACACTTCCAAACTTGGTTCTGAGGGTTCTAAACCCCAAACTATATGTTCTATTACTAGTATTGAGGTGACACAAATGCCAAGTGACGGGCGTGTGGGCGTGCACCGTGAGAATCTCGGCCTGGATCATTCTATGGCACCGCTGACTTGCTCTTTCTTGCTAATATCTATGTTGTGATCATATGACTAAGTTAATGAGTTGTAAATCATGCTAAATATCATGTTAGGGCTTTGCGCCGATACTATTGACACCCAAAAGGTCATTTCTTGTTGTCACATCATTACATTCATTGGTATTTTGTACTCAGTCTTGCTCATGCATATCATATCGGGTCTCAGTCTCAGTTATTATTATTTGGCACATCATATCATTGTTTCGGGCTAGTTTCATGACATTGTAAGCTCGTGTGTGTGAGGCTGGAGAGTGATGACTGTGTAAGGTCGAGAGCCTGATTGTGAGTGATAGTTATGGGATGGGACTACACGCTGCATTGCAATATTGATATATGCCTTCGTTGGCTTGTAATAGCGTTTGGGCTATAGGAGCCCCTTCAGAGTCAGTAACACAACCCTAGTGAGCGCAAGTGATTATATTCAGGAATGGATCTTCCTTTGGTATGGAGATGGATCTTCTGTGAGGCTGGTTGGCCTGTTCCTCGGTACTAGAGACCAATGGTCTATGATGTGTATATATTCAAGGATGGATCTTCCCTGGGCCTTGGGAGATATATACAGTAGCGAGTGGTTGTGAGGTTGTTATCATTGTTATTATATGGAGATGGATCTTCTCTATGGGCTGGAATGGCCTTCCTCAGTACTGAGTGACTGTTATCGGAGATGTATATATTTCGGGAAGGATCTTCCCCGGGTTGTATGAGCCAAATACAGTATTGAATGGATGAGCATTTGAGATTATAGGCACATAAGGCCCTCAGCATGGTGCATTTCATACAGCATGTGCATTGGCATGTAGACGTAGTAGAGTTACACATCCTTACGTTGTATATATCTGCTTTGTTTTATTGTTTGAGCTGTTTATTTAACTGAAAGTATGCCTATGTTTCTGTACATTATTTTATTACCTTTGATGAGGTTGAGTTCGTAACTACCTATCAATCCAAAGGTTGGACTTGTTACTTATTGAGTTAGTTTACTCACATTACCCCCTACACCTCGTGTGCAGATTCAGGCACTTTGGATCCAGTGGCGGTGGTTGATTGAGGCATCTGCACGACATTCGTAGGCCTTAGCTCTCCACCTTACTTTCCAATTGTATTTCAGTTGTCCCTTAGACAATATATTAGACTATGTATTTTTCCTAGATTCTCATGCACTAAATGACACCTCGGTTTTGGGCTGGATTGTATCTATTCTTGGAATTTCTTATGTTTCAAATAGTTCTTTAATTGTTAAAAGCTTCTGTAAATGTTTTCAAACTTATTATTATCGTGTTGATTGTTGAGTTGAGGTTGGCCTAGTTTCACGATAGGCACCATCACTACGGGTCGGGTTTTGGGTCTCTACAAGTTGGTATCAGAGCCTAGGTTACATAGGCCTCACGAGTCATGAGCGGGTTGAGTAGAGTCTCACGGATTGGTATGGAGATGTCTGTACTTATCTTTAAGAGGCTGCAGAACCTTTAAGAAATAAACTTCACATTCTTGAATTTCTATCGTGCAAAATTGATTCAGCTTGAAGCTTAACTCCTTGTATTCCTTCCATGCATTCGTGTGCGCATATGAGCGCTCGGTATCAGTTGCGCATCGATAGTTTGTGATTCCCTGATGGAATGGCGAGATGTAATGTCTGTGTGTTGATGTTGGGCCAGTTTGGAGGACTTAAGGCTGGGTTTTGCCTATAGCTTGAGCACGGAGCCATTGATTTTATGAGTGCATACTTCTAGATTTATATGTTCGGTAGTGTCCCTATTAGTGGAAGTGATGGCTGGATGGCTATGTGATGAGTATGATGTGACTACGAGATGTATTCATATGATTTGGATGTGACTGTGAGATATGTTCATATGATTTGAATGTGATGAGAAGGGTTTGCTTAAGGGCAGAAAGAACTATTTGGTGCTTGATTTCCATCGTGATTTGATGTATAGCCTGAGTTAGGGTGTATTGAATGATCTTTTCATGTTGTTAGTTAGGGAGTGAGGTGGATTTTATGTTGCGATTGGAGTTCATACTCAGGAAGATTTGGTGATTGCGTGATGTTTATGGCGGTGGAAGGGTATAAAGGGAAGTTAGTTTGAGGCGGAGCAGGTGGGTTATCTCCTGTGGAGTGTTCTGAAGTTGTGTGATCCCTATGTTGTTTGTTGAAAGTCCTCTTTTACTAGTGAATTATATGTGCCGCAGTTTGATTTTGGATTGCGTATGACAGTTGTCTTGACTATTACGAGG